GGTTAGGCATGTTTTCTGTTGCTGTTCAGGGAAGTCTTTGGAGCCAAGTGCATGGCACAAAGGCACCACCTAGTGTCCAAGTGAGGTAATGCAGCTCCATTTCTGCAAAGAGAGAAGTCGTGTGTGTGTGTGTGTGTGTGTGTGTGTGTGTGTGTGTGTGTGTGTGAGACACAAGCACTGTGAGCTCCAACCCTCCCCCTGATTTGCCATTTGGGATTTTAACGATCTCCTTAAAGAAAACTCTCATGATTCCCTGTTGGTCCTGAAGAGCGAGAGGCAGGGAAAGAGACTTAATGACTTCATTCAACCAGAAGACGTGGAAGCCCTCATCCTGGGTAGGCCCTGTCTGGGTGTCTTCCTCATGGCGCAGTGGGCACAAAGCAGGTGGAGGGATATATGACACGCGTCTGAGAACCTGCCATCCCAGGGTAACCCTGAGATGCTTCCAGGCTCTTGCGTGGGAGCTGGGCAGGGAGCAGTTTGGTGGCCACTGGTTCAATTCCAGGCCAGTCTGAGCCCTCACATCCCACCTCTTTCTCGGGTGGCCGAGGCCGAAGCCGCCCGGGGCTCCTCCTACTGCCCTCTGTCGTCACCGCTCCAGCACCAGCCTGTCCTTCTGCAGCCGGTCTCTGGTGTTCACGCCCTCTGGCTAATCGGGGAGAGGGAAAGACGGATGGTTCCTTAACCAGAGCCCAGAGCGGTGGTGGAGGTACAGTTTGAAGGGAGCTGCTCACCTGCTCAGCTGTTCAGGCGGGCCCTTGAAACTCAGCTGGGGACTGGGTCTCCTCCATCCCCCGGCCCACTCCCAGGTTCCTTAGGACTCTCTGCCCCCCCGCACACGGGTCTGCTAGGAAATGAAGGAGGCAGTCGAATGCTTGAGGTTAAAAATGATCACCTGGTGATGACAGGACCTAGAAGGCTTTTCTTTTCTGGAGGACAGTGTTTGATGGGCAGGGAAAATTGAGGAAACCGGCTCTGAAAAAAGGAGCTGGTGTTGGTTTTTCAAAGGACTGGAGGGAGTGCTAACAGGCAGCTTGGAGAGTCCTCTGCAATCCCGCACCGAGGCAGACGGGAGGATGGCCTCTGAGTCCGGGGCTGGAACAACCTCTCCGGGCCAGCATCCTTCCCCAGCCCACCAGACCCTACAGTTTCTTGCACACATGATGGTAGCCATGTGATTTCCTGCTCCCTCAGTCAATGTCATGGTGACATCACCTCCTGTCACTTTCTGTCCCCTGCTCCATTCTGCTCTGAGGAGGAGCTCTGGGGAGGCCCTGAGGACCTGACAGCTTTTGGGCGCTGCCAGCTCCCTGTGGTTCCTGAGGTCTCAGGGTCCCTTTGGCAGATTGAATTTGGAGCCACATTAATGCACGTCACTCAGTTGGGTATAGAGAAGGTCTAGGGTGGGTGTAAATGGCAATTTCAGAATCAAATTTAATAAACTTTAACATAAAAGATTAAAAGGTTCCCTTTGTCAGGTAAAACCAAGAATTTTTTAAAAAGTACAAAAAGAAACAATAGGTGCAGGGGATTGGTGGGGAGAAGGGGATGACACTTCCCAGACAGCGTTTTCTCCCCCTGCACACTGGGGACCCTCTCAGCCGTCTGTCTGCCTTGGGGATGACCTGCCCTATCCCTCTCAGGTGACAGCAAAAATGCTGTCACAACAGCATCCTGACATCCCATGCATGTTTACCATCACCAGCTTCGAAGACCCTTTGTGTCAATTTGAAATTCAAAACAGGCTTGGTTTGTGTTTGCCATCTGTGAGCCCAAGGGCCTGAGCTGGGGGCTCTGAGCCCCTGCTACCCGGCCACCCTCCCCTCGAAAGAGCCACAGGAGCTCCCCTCCCACACCTGCTGCAGATGGGAGGCCCACTGAGGCCTGCGCAGCTTCTGCTCTTATCAAAAGCCTGCAGGTACCGCTGCTCCTCTAGGATGCCCGTGGGAGGAGGATGCCAGCGGCGGCAGCAGATCCACACTAAGCCTCGGTGGCTTCTTGCAGCAGAAGGGCTGTCAGGAATGGCGGGCCACAAGGATGCAGGGATATCAGACAGACCACCTGTCCCGCTTTGCTGGAGTCAGCAGAGCGGGGAAGGCAGCCGTGTGCTGGCATGTGGTCTGCATCACTGGCTTAGGAGTGCAGGCAGAAACCGGCCTTTGTAAGGAGGCAGACTGGGCTCAGACACCCCCGGGGCTGAGCAGCAGTGGACAGGACTAGAGGGCAGTGTGAGGCTGCCCCAGGTGGCCTCTCGTCTCCCGCTGGACCGAGGTGCTGGCAGGGAATGGATTTCCTCCTCTAGGCTGGAACAAGGGGGACCACGCAGCAAGAGGACACTCTCCATCCTGCTGGGAGGTCTGGGCAGCCCTGGCTCCTCACTTACCTATCTTTCCAGAAAATAGGATTTTCATGGGTTAGAAAAATCCCGCTTTTAGTTTATTCCCAGGGAAAAGTTAACTCCACGTGGAAGTAAGGGTTCCTGTGCCCTCAGCTGGTCCACAGAGACTCAGGAACAATGGATGCTACTGGACTCAGTGTCTGGTTGGATTGGAATCCAGCCACCAGCAGCACCACCAAAGCTGCGTTATGCTCTCTGGGCAGGGACTGAAATGCCACAGATCGTCCCAGTGCTATGTGAGTCACTTCTGTGCCCATTAACCACGTGTTTGGTTAGCAGTGAACCCTACCGGGCCTGGCGACCTTTTCGAGGTCTTCCTAGGACGGGGGGTCACTCTTGGAGATGGGAGCTCTCCAGGCAAACCTGGCAACCCCGCTGTGCTCTCTTTAATTGCTTCTCCCTTCAGCTGACACCGTGTGGAACCAGGATAATCAATCTGCAGGTTAGAAGAACAACCACATTCTCTCAGGAGACGTTATAGCTCATAAAAAATGTACAGGGGATGCTCTTTGCTGAGGGTTTTGATTTTTAACTCGTGCCCTGCCATGTGGCAGTGGGTGTTGAGCCAGGGAGGATGAAGGTTTGTGCAGGGGAGATGGAGGCGGGCAAAGGTGGCAAGGGAGATCTGTCACCACTCTAGGAAAACAGAGAAAGCAAAGGAACAAGTCCGGTCCCTCATTGGGACTCCCTCCCACCTTGGCCCTGAGAGACCACATGCATTCCAGAGGCCTGGAGCCAATGGCATCTCCAGGGGGCCCACCCAGTCCGCCTGGAGCCCCGGGCTCAGCCCAGGGTGCTGCAGAGGGCGTCCAGGCCCACGCGGTGTCGTCTGCAGCTAAAGGCGCTGGCCACGCCCCATCCAGCATCGGGAGATGCCGCCCCTCCCGCATCTCACGGGCGCACCCCAAAGAAAAAAGAGCAAAGAGGACGTCAGCTTCCATTGTATCACCACGGACATCTCTCCTTAAAGGATCCAGGGTGTCCTTCTGCAATGGTGTGAACAGTACCTATGTCTCTCTGGGGTCCTCTGCTCTGCATTCTGAAGCTCTGGTATAGACTGAACCACTTGGCTATTTAACTGGCAACATTTTTCTAGGTGTCATGCAAAAATGTTATGTACCCCTTCCGCTGGCAAGATGTAAGGGAGCACAGGAGGACAGGGGTGGAGAGGCCTTGGCTGTGTGTCCAGCTGAGCTCTGGTCTGGTTCTCTCTTTTGCCCCCCTGCTCCGATGCCAGCTGCCTGGCCTTGAACTGTCCTGGGGAGAAGGGACCACCCCAGCGAGGCCAACACCACAGATGGGTAGGGGCCTCGAGTTGTGCCGCGTGGCACGGCTCTGGGACGGCCATGCACAAGGACCGCAGGCTGCACGTGGCCGCCCCGACAAGGAGTGAAACGCATTCGGCTCCGAGCCCTCGGGCCTGGGTCACGGTGGGCGCTAAGGCAGCCTCTGCGGCCGCAGGAATGACCACAAAGGGAAGGGGAGGGAAGAAGCTGCCTGTGGGTGACGGAAGAGCCCTCAGCCCCCCGCCCCCATCCAACTATGCTGAATATCATGAACATGGAATTTGGGCTTCCAGAGAGGATTTGAGAAACTCTTGGACCAGACTTCTTATCTGCGGCTGTTCTGTTTCCTTTATCCTCTCCCCTGTCATGGATCAGAGGGGAGCCTCCTTAAGTCTGGATTTATGCATTCACGCTGGGGGTGTCGATTAGTCACCAGCGCACTCACACACACTCTCACACGCACCCTCACCCTGGATGTAGCCCTCCTGGTGCGGGAGCCAGGAGCTGGCAGAGGCCCCAGAGGGGGTGGCAAGAGGTGGCACTGAACACCTGCCAGGGACACACTCCATGGTGCACGGTGGCCTAAAGTGCGAAGTGTATATCATGGCCTCGGCTGCACCTAGACTGTGCGAGGCAGTGCGAGCCACAAGA